GATTAATTTTTGTTTAGAAGTTTATTTGCTACAAATTTCTTAGACAATTCGATAAATTGTTGTTATTTGTGCCTGTACTATGAATAATGTGCATTTTAGTAACACTTTCGTGTGCTGGTTGTCATAGCAAACCCAAGTACTTAGGCATTTTTATGGTACTTTATGTGGATAAGTTGAATAGCCTACGTGCTCTTCTGAAAATTCTGTACTTTATGTGGATAAGTTGAATACGTGTTCTTCTAAAAATTAGAATATTTTAATAACAATCAATCTATTTATTTTTATTTTGAATTTTCTTGTTGGTTATGAACTGTACCCAAATTAGTATCGATAGGTACCAAAATTAATATCGAAATTGTTCCACTATTGTAAACTTAAAAAGTATTGCATGTATTGCAGTACGGTACATATTTACTACTATTTTTACACATTACTACTTTATACATAAACTCGTTCTGACCATGTGTTACGCAGTTTGAATCAGTTGACTTGATTCTGCGTTGCGTTTCTCAGTTTCTACGGCCACTGTGGATTTCCGGTTTGAACATGTTCCTGAGCATTGTTGGATGACGTAGCAATCTGGAGATGTGGTTTAGTTTGCGGCTGTTTTACGCGATAACACTTATCTGTACCGTTAAACCTCACACACCATTATAGAGCAACAAAACAGGCTTTTTTAAATCTATGTAGGTAGCAGAAACATAATGCATAATTAAAATGTTCTCTTCTTGTCCCTAAGTTTGATCTTTGCAAATCAACGTTCGATTTTGTTCAATCCAGTTGAACTCAAAATGTCTGTTTAAATATGATAGAGATACAGATACCCCATTAAATTACCAAGGGTAACTCACAAGAAAAAATTGAGGCCTCCTTATTACTTATTAGATTAATTAATATGTTTGTATATTCTATTTATATTTGTAAGGTACTTTACGAACCCCATTACTCCAGGTTTTAACCTAAATACTCTTAAATGTACTTGTACAACAGTCAAAATACACAACTATACAAAAAATGATTATAATTCTACCATCAGGAATGATGTTTAGACAACCAAACTATAAAATTAGTCCGAAGCATGGATCGTGCTTTTCAAAGTGTCACACATTTTAGTCAGTAAAACAAACGTGTATGGATCTTATCTTTATAATTTAATGGCGCAACACGAGTTTACTAGATATGTTTTATATAATAGAATAGATTTATTCTTCAGATATTTTCCAAATTAAATTAAAAACCATAACCTAATATGTATAAAAATATTATTAGTAAATGTTTACAGTGACAAAAATTATAAACTACTTCATAGCTACGTCAAACTTAGTTTTTTTTTCGAATTCGTTAACCAGCAATGACTATTCACTGTACAAAATGCTATATACAGGGTGTCCCATAATACTCTCCTCTGGTTAACTTTTGAACGGTTGCATATAGGCTTACTCAAACGAGCTTCGATACACGTTACTAGGGTAATGTAAAGTACTTTTTGTAGTATTTTTAAATTCACCCCCATCCCCAAATAGGGGTTGCTTGGATTAGATTTGGTTCCTTAGTTGCTAGGTAACTTAGATTTTGTAAATAGCAACCCCTATCAAGTAGCGCATCATTTTAAAGAGGTTTAAAAAGAAAATTGATGCCACAAATCCGACTTTGACACGATGATTTTTCAAAAAGTTATGGCAAAAGATTTTAGACGTTAATTTAACTTGAAATTCCATCACCTTTATTTTTTTTATTGCTGTGAATTTAAATAACCTTCAATACACATGGTTAGAGTGATGTCATGCAATTTTTACCATGGTTTTTAATTTTATCAATCCCTCCCCCCTAAATAGGGGTTGGTATTAAAAAATCAAAACCCCGCCATCAATAATTTTTTATGCGTTGGCCACGTTTGATGGGTTTAATGGGTTAAACAACCAGTTAAAGTATTTTGCCTTCTCAAAGCTGTTTTTTATACCTAAATGGATACTTCATTTCCGTAATAACCTTGATTTTATTGAGTAAAAAAATATTCTAGACCTATACGTGAATGTTTTCATCTTTACAAAGGTAGAATCTCTTTTTCGTAGCAAGTGAGAAGATCAATATTTTGTTCTTATAACACTTGAACCTTTTATTAAAAATGTATTTCGACAGCAGCGTAGCAGTAGATTGAAAGTAATCTGAAAGAACAATGTCGTTTTCAGCCATTCCATCGTCTATTTCACAGAACGCGGAATGCACATTTTGCTGTTTAGACACTCGCTCAGTTATGCGTCAGCACAATAGATTCAGCATACACGGTTGGACATTGTGCAATTGTTTCTCTGTACTGCCACCTACATCTTGCCAATTTCGCCATATAACGCGCAGTCATTAAATACTTGGAAGTTTAGTGGCCTAGATAAATTAAACCATAGATACAGAATATTTTAGAGTAATCCATTAAATAGTTTGAACAAATCTGGAGGAACGGGTTACTTAATTTGCAGTTTTCTTCATTTATTTGTAACATTGAGTTTCCACTATTAGATCTTAAGATTTTATAGCTAGTTTCCAAATTAACTACTGTACTACTTAATAAAAAAACTGATAGACAGTTTTTCGTTAATTAACCTTCCCAATACATATGTTTAGGTTTTGGCAATCAACCAACATTTTATCAATTATTTACCAATCAACAAGACATATATTTTCAAACTAACTTCAGTATTTTAAATCAAAGCTATATTATACAAAGGAATCATATGTAGACCTAATATGTCGATCTAACGAGCGACGTTACGTATTAAATTCTAACAACCTGTCTTAGTTAATGATTTTATTTTATATTTAGAAAGGATGACAATTTATATATAGTTTTTTCACAGTAACAACCTTTCAATCAGTAATTCGAGTTTAATTTTTGATGTACAAATTTCATAAATGTTAGGTTAAAGTTCTATTAAAAAATATACTGACAGAATCTTTTACAGTTATTTGTTATTCTTAATAATTTTGAAGATTGTTATAACCTTATAAATTGTCTATCAGAACAACTCATTCAATGTTATCAAAGGTATTTTCTCAATATCCTGCAAGTCTGATTCAGTGTTTGTCATACATTACGTCATCAACCGGTACAGGCTAGCACATAGTCTCTGGCATGTTCTATGACTACAGAACTGTCATACTCACATACTGTTTACAATATACTCGTAATGAACATACCTTGTTCCATGAACAGCTCACCTTTACGCAGACTTAGTTATTTTCGCTGGTCATTCAGTGTCGCTGTTCAATCTATTAGTCTGCTTGCTAATTATAGAACAACGCTCATCTTCTGTTTTGCTGAACCAGAATCTTTACTGTATTTTAAAATTTTCAATTTGAACGTCCACCTGTAAAACTTATATTTTCAAAAAAGTAGCAAAATACAATCTAGTTTTATCAGATTTTGGAATATAGTTAAAATATTATTATACTCTTAATCTTTAGCTATTAACTTAATAATTATACTTTTGTTGATCTTTGAGATGCATTTTTATTACAATTTGTTTCCTTTGATCTTTACCTAAAATTCAGTCAAATTGAAATAGTTTTTTTATGAAAAAAATATTTGTAGAGTACTTTTCCGATTTATGGATTTGTATTCTTAGATTGGAATTTAAGATGCAAATTGTTGTCAACAGTGGGTTATGATCCCTTAGATAAGACATTATATACTTCGGCCAATACAGTCTCTATAATTGTGTAAATGAAGAGCTCTTCCTAATGTCTATTTATGGCAACACAATGTAGCCTACCTATTAAAATGACTTAGAATCTTAAACTGAATGTTTGACTCTTGTGTACTAATTATGAATACAATTTTAAATTTATATATGACAGTTGGTTTTCGATTCCACAATAATTATTGTGAAAAGTTGCATTAGTCCACAAAATCAAATATTTTTTTACTGTAATTTCTTTTTTTTTTTGTATTCAAGCAAAATAATTAAAAGGGGCGCAGTGCATGAATACATCTCCCGTGTTATTATTATGGGAAAACATGTGATTAGATAGGTACATTTATTTTTAAAACCGTTAGAAAAATTGAAATAAATTTTCTTTATATTCATTCCTTAGATTGTTTTCTATGATTTCATGCTATATAAACAAGAAATTAGGTATAATTTTTAAAATATTAAATAAAATAAAAATTAATAATTGTTAATTGTGTTTTTTAAATAATAAACAATTTATTTTTAAAGTAAAATTAACGATAACATTTTAAAAATGCATGAAACTATTCACCATGGTAACAGGAAGTATTGTGTCAAATTTGGGCTTGATGAGTGTAGTAGTTTTCTTTAGAATGGTACTTAAACTTATAAAAACTAACTTTCGGATATTCACATTTGAACCCTTGAAGGGCAGGCTTAATAGAATCCTGAAGGGTTCTCTTTCAAAAATCCGGGAAAATTATTTTCTTTTACAATATTAGACTATGGGTACTCAAATTGTGCAGCTTTTTGTCCTAAATGCAAATATGCAGTTTGATTTAAGATTAGACTATTACAAGCTTAGTAAATAAGGGAAAACCGGGAAAATGAATAGTTTCCTTAATGTATCTTAGTGGAGGATTAAAGATTCCTTCTTATGTAAAAAATATCCAAAGTATGAAGTGTTATATATTTTCTTAAACGGCACAAAATACACAATATTTTGTCATCATTTATTAAAAAATTATTTTTGTATTTTCGGGGACTGCTCCCCTTTAAGTAACCAGAGATTTTGAGTTTTTTTTGTAGATAGTAATCTACCAAATACACAACCATGCCAATCACTTATAGCCTTTTAAAGCTAATAAAAACATCTGTAGCCTGATTATATCTATAAAACTATCTATAATAAAACACCAAAAATGTTTTTTCAGTCTGCAGAGCCAAATGTCAATTAGTTGTGTCACTAACTATAAAAGTATCTAAAACTTGATAAAATGCAATAAAAGTACTATAAGTAGTTACGGTATCCTAATTGATAAATTGTGTTTTCAGATTCAACGGACATTGTAGACTGTAAGCTGAAACTAATCCTAGGACTAATATGGACCCTCATCCTGCACTACTCTATATCCATGCCAATGTGGGAAGGAGAAGAGGATGCTATCAATGGAGACAAGGGTGCCACCCCAAAACAGAGGTAAAAAACACAGAATAACTTGTTATAGTTTGTGAGTATAGATAAAAACACGCACTGAACTTGTTATAGTTTTGGATTATACATAGAAACACACTCTAACATGTGATAATTTGTGGGGTGATATTTTGTTTTACTACAAATTTGTGCATTAAAATAGTCAAAATCTTTACTCTAAATGTTTAAAAATGAACTTAAATATTACCATCGACAAAAGTAATTAAATATAGATCCGACAGCAGTGCTGTGGTCAGTATATGTTCTGGCGTCCACCGCTGGGAGTTCCATGTAGTTATGGCACATACCGCTGCCTTTGACGGCAGCGAATATAACACCAAGCACTAGTGGCACATCACGGATATTGAAATTTATGAATTAAATATATTTAGATTTGGCTATTAATTCAAGTGGTGTTTTTGAGTTGTGGTAAGAAAACCATAAAACTGCCGACCTCTCAGCAGAGGGCAGGACTCGGGCAAGAAACCACCTCAGTCCTCCCTGTGCAATGAGGTAATGCCTCATTTGAGCAGGTACCTGTCTGTAACCACCCCATATCCCCCCAGTTTTAGTTGAAGGGGGGGGGGTAGTGAAAATGGATTTAAAGAATTTATGTTTCTAATCCTAATAATCATTTCTACTGTGCCATTGAACAGTTGTAGTTTTATCGAACATAATTCTTAAAGCAGTTTAATTGTGTAGCAAAACCTCCTCAATATAATTTGCTGCTACCAAGTCATTTACCAAGTGCTGGAAACGTTCAACTATTGACTAGTCTCTCAAATTTAGAGGAAATGATACAAACTTTGTCCAAAAATGTGTATACATTTGTAATCCAATAGAAGTTTTTAATTTGGAACATACAACACAGCTAACTCAGTTCTCAAAAAGTCATATAAAATAAACCAACTATTTTGTAGCTTGTACCATATGCAACATTAATTCTTAGAAAATATGGATTGAGACACGATATCAAACCTTGCCCCCTTGATTATAAGATCCTAATCCATCGCTGCCCAAGCCCAACACCTATCACTTGATATAGTATTCCATGCATATATTGAGTTTGAAATGTTTCTAACAAGGTAGTGTTAAGGAAGTATAGAATGTTGTGTAAAATCTCTAACCCTAACAATCTAAATATACAACTGGAAGAACATCGTAGGAGGCTCCAGAAGATATGAGGCACCTGCTTCTTTTGGCTTTGGTGCCAGAACTGGAGCAGGTTATGGATGTTGTAAAACCTGTCTTCAAAAAATACAAACATTCAGAAGTACTGTCATTTCATGGATCTCAATTATGCTCATTAACATTCATTTATGTATATCCAAGCTACTTAAATTTAAAAGGAAACCAAAGGAAGGAAATTATTTTATTATTTTATTTGTTAAGTAATCATTTCAAGATCATATCATTTTAATTTAACCCGTGACAGAATAAACTTAGTCATATAATGTTGGATTTGGGTTGATTTTATGTTAACCTAATATTAAATGCAAAGTCCTCAGAAATTAAATTGTTTGGTTTTGTACATTTGATTAAATAAAAATTAGATGCACTAATGTAGCAAACAAACGTTAGTTACAAAATAATTTGTCATTTTTATTTTTAGCTAGTCCACAATTTTTTCAAGTACGGTAGTGGTGACTAACAGTAATTTGTTGATCGATGAATATTTATGTTCTATATTTTATCATAAACTAGAGAGTGGTCGTAAACATGTTTTACAATACTCCTGTTCTTACAGAAATCTGCAGTATAAAGTGAATTACCAGTTATTTAATTTAATTTTAACAGATCTATATTAGGGAATTTGAATTAGGTCCACGTTCAGTTCAAACGTTTATAAAATGAATTATTTTTGTTTACCGCTAGGAGGAACACGAATATTGTAAAAAAAAATAGCTCTAAGTTTGAATTAGCGATGTTTTTGGCTTTAGGTTGTCCTAATATGAAAAGTACAGTGATTCTGGACCTATGTCTTACCTTGAAGACTGCAATGATAGCTAAAGCCATGTTAGAGGATAAAAAAACAATAAAAAAAAAACATTTGTGATGAATGTCTTAGAAAAATAAATCAGGTAGAAGAACTGCAGTAAAAAGTAAATTGGACTGATGAACTAATCTGGGATGATGTCATCATGACTTCATCTAACAGTTGTGACCTCATGCTGTTCCCAAGACATAACTTACCTGTTTAACTGGTTCTGTCCTCTATCTATACCATTGTTGTACAGTAAAACTGATTTACCGGTCATAAAACTATTTATTAGTGTGAGGAGTATTTAGTTCAAGGATGAGTTAGTAAATTTCACTGTAAAATTCAGTTTAAATTTTGGTTTCCAATAAATAAAGTAAGATTGTATATAGTATGATTGTTAGTATTCTCAATTCTCATCATATTATTTATAGAATATATGTCAACTATTAACCAGCAGTTACTTTATTTCCACAAAAAACCTTAGAAGAGAAACAAGAAATAAAAGATCAAGTTTATATAACTAAACTATGTGAGAATGTAATCAAAGAACCTTGAGGTCCATCTGTATTGAATAAATTTCAAACAAATGTTTCATAACGAAGCTGTGCGAGCGGGTGTGTGTGTGTGTTGTTAATTCAAAAAAGGAAAAAAAAACATTTGTCTTTATGTTGCATATTTCAACATACATGCAATTTAGTATTTATTTGTCACCCCATTTGCACTACAGCCTCAAGATATATTCGTAATCGTCTCTATTTAGCCTTAAGCTAAATAATTACAAGATGCAAAATGTTTATCTCACAAAATTAACCCGCTACGGTGCATTCTTCAAAGTAAGATAAAAAATACCACCGTTTCAGAAAACCTGCAGACTAAGTAAATTTCCATCTACCTGAATAGTTTTCAGTAAACTATTTCATAAAATTGTCAGATTTATTCCCTTTTTAAAAGAATTAGGTTTAACGAATACTAGTTGCTGTTACAGGGAAGGTAGTAAAGTGTGTTTTTAATTAAATATCAAAAGCTTAGTATTAAATGAATAAATTTGTAAAATTTAATTAAAAAATATCCATAATCAAGCAAATTACAACATTTTTGCAATGGTCCCTTTTTTACAGTTGCTTATTTTATGTTGCAGATTACTTCACTGGATCCAGAGCAAACTGCCAGACTTGCCAATCACAAATTTCACATCTGACTGGAATGACGGTCGAGCCGTCGGTGCCCTCGTGGATGCTGTTGCCCCGGGTACGTTCTAATACATAGATAATACACTGATGAGTGTTGCCTCTAAGAAGATATCCAACCTTGATAAATAAGATTTGCTTTCCTTTGGACTCTAGTATGCGCAGCTTGAAGCTTCCCTTACATTTTGGTTTTTCCATGTATTTTTGGAACAAGACACCCCTTGAACCTGAACATTCAGTTTCATCCAATTCATGAAAAAATTCTTTGATCGTTGCATTGGTGGTACCTGGATGAGTCTTGGAAACCAGATGGGTTAGGGTTCATGACAACCTGAAAACTAGATGTGTTAAGGTTCATGATGACCTGAAAACTAGATATGTTAGGGTCCATGACAACCTAAAAACTAGATGGGTTAGGGTTCATGACAACCTGAAAACTAGATGTGTTAAGGTTCATGATGACCTGAACACTAGATGTGTTAGGATCCATGACAACCTGAAAACTAGATGGGTCAGGGTCCATGAAGATCTGAAAACTAGATGGATTAGGGTTCATGAAGGTCTGAAAACTAGATGGATTAGGGGTCATGAAGATCTGAAAACTAGATGGATTAGGATTCATGAAGATCTGAAAACTAGATGGATTAGGGTTCATGAAGATCTGAAAACTAGATGGATTAGGGTTCATGAAGATCTGAAAACTAGATGAATTAGGGTTCATGAAGATCTGAAAACTAGATTAATTAGGGTTCATGAAGATCTGAAAACTAGATGGTCTAAGGTTTATGAAGATCTGAAAACTATATGAATTAGGGTTCATGAAGATCTGAAAACTAGATAGTCTAGGGTTTATGAAGATCTGAAAACTATATGGATTAGGGTTCATGATGACCTAAAAACTATATGGATTAGGGTTCATGAAGATCTGAAAACTATATGGATTAGGGTTCATGAATATCCGAAAACTAGATGGATTAGGATTCATGAAGATCTGAAAACTAGATGGATTAGGGTTCATGAAGATCTGAAAACTAGATGAATTAGGGTCCACGAAGATCTGAAAACTAGATGAATTAGGGTTCATGAAGATCTGAAAACTAGATGGTTTAGGGTTTATGAAGATCTGAAAACTATATGCATTAGGGTTCATGATGACCTGAAAACTATATGGATTAGGGTTCATGAAGATCTGAAAACTAGATGGTCTAGGGTTCACGAACATCTGAAAACCAGATGAATTAGGGTTCATGAAGATCTGAAAACTAGATATGTTAGGGTTCATGAAGATCTTATAGCTAGAGGTGTTAGAGCTCATGACGACCTGAAAAGTGTGTTAGGGTTCTAGGGGATCAGAAAGCTAGATGGATCAGGGTTCAAGAGAAATTGAGATATAGATGGGTTATGGTTCAACACAATCCAAAAACTATATGGGTTTGGATTCAAAACCACCTAAGATCTAGATGGGTTAGGGCTCAAGAAGACTGAGATCCATAGATGGGTTAGAGTTCATGACAACCCAAACAGTTTTAGTGGGGTTTCTCAGTGTCTCAGCTGACAAACTTCCATGCTGTTCAGGGACCCAATTCTTAAGATCTTTGGATACAGTTTCCCTAATAACTTTCACAATCTAAAGTGTGTTGGTTTACCATCAGACATTGTATTTCTTAAACCCAAACTAAATTGGTTTTTCCTGACATATTTTGATATTGCGGTTGACACATGATTTGCCAGACAATAATCCAGAGGTACTGTAAATATTTGCTCTTCTCTAGACATTATTAAACCACTGTCCACTGTCCAGTCTTGCTACCATCAGATCGATAAGTTTAAATTATACAAGTTTGTATAGCATTTAGGTAGTTTCAGGTTAGAGTGCTTGTTGAATTTTAAAAACAAAACCTTAATTAGGCTATCGATAACCAAATAGGACCAAGGCAATAGCTTAAATATGAAATTTATTGTAAGATAAGAACAAAAGTACTTACCTTAAAAATATATCATTTTTTGGATTGATAATATTTCTGGCAACCAAACTAAAAGAAAAAGTTAAATCCAAAAACAAGATAAGATTTTATTTTTACTTAAAAATACATTGCATTAAAACAAACCACAATTTCAGAAATTCCATTTGTTATGATTGTGAGTTTTTTGCAATTTATTCATAACTTCAAAGGTGAAAAAAACAGATAACATTTACCTACAGTGCTTTGATTGTAAGATGGACACAATTACATTTAAGCATACAATTGTTCCTATTTGAGCAACATATTTTTGGAATCACTAACAGATATATAATGTAACCCTACTTTTCAGGTCTCTGCCCCGATTGGCAAGACTGGAACCCAAAAGACGCCATTGAAAACGCTACCGAAGCTATGGGTTTGGCGGATGACTGGTTAAATGTTAGACAAGTGAGTATTTCTTAGTATAATATTATATGTAGGTTATACTGTATAAGAGTAAAATACAGGACCCAAGTGTATTCAATTATCTCAAAGAATAGAAAGGTCACAATATATGTTGATTGATCTCAATAACAAACCAATAATATAATTGTCACTTTTGTTGTAATGTTCAAAAACATAATGTGTAATATTTTGATTTATCTAAATACAGAGTGGCTGAAAAGTAACTTGCACCCCCCCCCCACCTTAACTTTTAAACAATTTGAGATCAGTTTGTGGTAACCTTCTTAGATATGAGGGGCTACAATAATGATGATGATGTGGTATTCTGACAATTTTGCCCTTAGGGGTCGAGTGGTTAGCTAAAAAATGTCAAATGGAAAGTTTAGTCGACTTTGGTATCATTTTACAGGTCTTAACAAAACCAAACAATTTATATGAAGAAAACAAAAATAGGAATACTAATAACAAAATGGTGCCCTAAAACGATTTCAATCCAATTAACCATGAGGGTGGCTAAAAAGTAACTTGCCCCACCCAACTTTTTAACCATTTGAGATATTTGAAATTGGTTTGCTGCAACCCTCATGGATATGAAGGGCTAGAAAAATGATGGTTGATTTTTAAAATTTTGCCCTTAACAGTGGTGGTGGGGTTAGCTCAAAATTGTCAAACTGCAAGTATAGTTGGATGACTTTCATATTATTTTACAGGTCTTGACGAAAATAAAAATTTACATAAAGAAAATAGAAATGGGACGACCAATAGCAAAATGGCAGCTAAAAATTACTTTAAACAACCTTCATAAACATTTTTAGCTACCATTTTGTCAGATTTTTTCTTTCTTTATATGAACTGTTTAGTTTCCTAATCAATTGTTTTGAGGTTATTAATGTAACTATAATTTTGTCTAATTACAGCTTATAAAACCAGAGGAAATGGTGAATCCCAACATGGATGAGTTGTCAATGATGACATACTTGTCTCAATATCCCAATGCTAAACTGAAAACTGGGGCCCCCCTACGGCCCAAAACCAACCCTAGTAGGTAAGAATTCATCTCAAATATATTTTGTATTTAAATTAGCATATTTTTAAGCCCATTAATCAACCAATGCCAACTTACCATTTTGTAGTACACAGGTTTAAATGTGTTTTAATTGTATTGCAAGTAATAAGAAAAATATACAGTACCCACACATTATTTGAGAATAGTTAATAATTAAATTTGTTTGTGTGAATGGATATTTTATTCACATGAAAGAGAGGAAATATGATATTTAAAACAATAGCATTTATATTAAAAGATCATGTTGGTAAAAATGAAGATTATTGAATATTATATTGCTATTCTATTAAACCTGAAATCTGCAGATTGGACATTTATGTTGTCAATATGTTGAATGTTTCGATAATGTTTTTTAAGAAATATTTACCTACAATTAATTATCGAGCTTCTCAGTAGACTGTTTTTTAACGATCCAAAAATATTTCCAGTATTTTAGGAGTATTAATTTTATTTTAAGGATTGTGGTAATTTTAATAAAAAAAATATATAATATGTGTAAATTCAATTGCAGTTTAGGGGGTTTAAATTATGGATGCCCAGAGCTTGATCAAAACAAACAAAGTTAAGGGCTATTCAAAAATATGGACCCATTTTGGGAGTATCTTGAAAAGTATAAATCGGAAAAAAATAAGTTTTACACTGTTAGAAAGAAAAGTTTCAAAGTTTTATTTACACTCATTACAAATGCTCAATGTGTCCCCCTGTGCTACACAGCAATCGTCTAAGTGATTGCCAAATTTGTCCATAAATGAGAAAACATCTCTTGTATGACTGATTGCACAGCTGCAATTCCTTGAAATTGCCTACACCAATGAGTTATGCTTTTTATAATTGGCGGTTCAATACGGAATTCAAGGTGAAAAGCTTGCTGCACTGTAATAAGAGACTCAGTTTTAGCAAACTCTGTCACACAGGAAATCTTATACTGCATAGCCATCTTACAAACACCTAATGGTAAAACAAAATGGCTGGACATTGTTGCACCACTTTTTCAGCTGTTTACGGAACTATGGTCAAAAAACTTTGAAATGTCCTCTTTTGAATGGTTTAAAGTTTATGTCTGCCCAATTAATACTTTTTGAGATAGAATGTCACGAAGTTGGGTCCATATTTTTGAATAGCCCTGTATTTCTAATTGAAATAACACTTTTTTTCTAATTCCACACATACTTCAAAAACGTAATTTAATGTTTTTAGCACCAGTGTGGCTTTTGAAATCAGCAACTGTTCCAAAATAGGAGGTACTCTGCTTCGAAGAGCCATGCATTGTTTTCAGTTTTGGCACTTACATTTGAACTCTAGCCAAAATGGTTTTGGTAAACTTTTGTTTACCAATTTCGAATGTCGATGATTATATAATCATCAGTAATTAAATATTACTCCGTAGTATATCTCTGCTTTCATTTAAACTTAAAGTCGTTAAATATTTTGCATCATACTACACAGAAACAGGTACTTTTCCATCCGTATTGATAGGCTGGAAAGTTGCACTGCACGGTAGAACCTTTTTACCGTGTACTTAGCTGATGAAATAATCAGCTAACTGCAATGGTCAATTTTTTTTCTGTACTATAAAAATATAATAATTCATGTTATGTCCTAAATAAATTGTGTTATGCGTTTAAAATGTAATAATTATTCTGTATATTATGATGTAAAGTATCGTACATTACTCGCCTGGTAAGCTTTAGGCTTGTCACACACTGCCTCCGGTCCGGATTATTCTGATCCGGTGTTTTTTGCTGGATCCGGCAAATTTCCACACACTGCATCAGGCGTTCCAGTTCCGCCGACCAGTCTATGCGAGGACAGCGGATACTGTCAGTTGAAGAAGTGTTTAATAAACAACTAGTTAGTTTTTACAAAATTTAATTTTACCAATGAGTGACAGTGACAGTGAAGAAGAGATCATAGTAAATCAAAGGTCTTTATTCAGCCAGCGTTTTTTTCAGATACAATTCTGCTTTTCAAAACAACTTTAGTCATTATTCTACTTAAACTAAAAAAAACACCAACCATATATAAAATAATCTATGAAATTATCTTAATAATCAGTTTATTAGAAACAATCTACGTGAACAATAATAACGGTTATAATAAAACAATCCATATAAAACAATCCAATAACAGTCTAGTAGGGCTAGTAGTATTAAATTGATCACTTATTTCTTCCCAAATATTTTCCTTAATAACTAAGTTGTAGTAGCCCTTGTGGCCCAGGTCGTATAGCACAGGGTACTCCTGCACTTGCACAATCAATTTCTCTTCTAATGACATTTTGTAATAAAACGTACAGCGTAAGTAAACAATCACCAAAAAACCACGTCTGCTGCTACGTGGTGAGTAGAGTCGTCTGCGCATGCGCGAGCTCTCCGGCGCCGGAAGCTTGCCTGAAGCCTATCGCTTCTCAACCGAAATAATTTTACCGGAGAGCACCTGACCTGATGCAGTGTCGGCACTTCCATTTGAATTAATGGTTTTCGATTGGTTTAAAAATTTACCTGATCCGACATGCCTGATCCGATTTCACTGGACCTGACGCAGTGTGTGACGAGCTTTAACGTACTCGCACGGTTAAACACCACTTACCTGGCTAGTAACGTAATATACTATTATCTGAGTTGGCGATACAATAAGTAACATGTTTTGGAAAGCGTTTTCATCCAACCCTTGAAGTAATTGTTGCACAATTAATTGAATTTGTGTATTTTCTGTTTGACACAGATTTCCAGACAAATGATAGATATAAAAAAATCTAGCACTTTATTCATTAATGTTTTTTTAGTATGATTTTTCTTGGTTAATGAGAATCCAGACATCTAATTTCACTTGAAAAAACAGGTGATTAATTCGGAAAAATTGAAAGATGTAGGAGGGTTGTTTTTAATTAAGGCTCGTTGAGGCGTATAGCTTCTTAGTTGGCCCTGGTTTTTAAATTTTAAATGCTGTGACTGATCAATGACTGAAATTTCAATGAACACTGACTTAATCTAAGCTTTTATATCAAAACTCAAACTATCCATAGTCTAGTTTTATAGTGAAAGCAATAAAGTAAGTGACACAGCATCAGGAATGGTTTTTACACACAAAAGTATTTTCATATTAGGAAAAATGAATAATTTTCTATTGGGACACACTTTCTGATACTGCATTATAAATAAATAACTTGTTTGTACACTCTTAAGTAAGTAATTTATTTCTATCAATATTAGACGTTTCTTATTTCTAAGTGGTTACTGTTTTTTTATATCTGTACTAAATATTCTTTTCTTGTGCAGTATTCCACCACCCCGGTAAGTTAAAGTTCATGGTTTTATAAAAGTGTTTTCTGATTTGCTTCTACATAATAAACTTGCCAAAAACATATAATACTGCCTTATAATAAGCATGTATGTTTCTAGAGCTTAGTTGTGTTTTTATTGGTAACTCGTCATACACAAAATCAGGCCATCTCCTGTAAATTTATTTGCGATACAGTAGAGTCCCAGTGGTAGAGTTTGTGAAATGCCGTGTTATCGGGAACTAGAGTTAAAAATAAGAGCAATACAATTTTTAAGCTTTTTAACCGCCTTTTTCAATTAGATTTATATTACAAGTCAGTATTAAGTCATCAGATATAGTACAACAAATCCTTAGTACGAGTTGCAAATGATTATAATTGAGCTGGCTTGTGTCCATGTTTAACTCGGACCCGAAAAATCACTAATTTTCTGAGCCAGGTGATGGCCGAGTTATCCAGACTGCCGGGTTATCCAGTGCCGAGTTTGCGGGACTCTACTGTACATACAGTTTTTAAATCGAAATATTCTTCTTCAAAACAACGTTTTACTGCCATTAACGGCCATCAGACTTCGGTCCAATATGGATATGTCGTTTAAATATTCTGACTTTAAAACCCTAAATCAAAACCAAGACATTTGTTCAAACTATAATAATTTTAGTTAGTGATACAGAATTTATATTTAAATAATAAAAAGAAACATCAACAAAGTAAATATCTTTTTTTTTCAGTGAACATTTTTTTTATTCAGCATGGTACAATAGCTATAGTTGATGATAATGTTTTATTTAAATAATTCATGCCGTAAGATTTTTAAGAACTGATAATTATTTGGAAAATATTTCGGTGGCTCAAAAAGTTTTGAGGAGGCTTCAAAATTTAATCCAATGGTCATGTAATGTTTAGTTTTCAAACGCTGCTTTAGGAATTTGTCTCTATACTCTCTGGTGTTATGTTATAACAAATCAGAATATAAGATAATTGATTTGCTCTTAGACCCTGATTCTCTATTTAATATTGAAAAGGAGATTCTTAAATAGTAAAAAGGTGTATGTTCATTTACAAACTATAACGGAGTAAAGCTTCCACAATCAAGATTGTAATAATTTCTAGAAATCACCATTCTCACCAACTTTAATATTTTGTAAGATTTAAAGTTTTCAACTTTGTACTTAGCTTAGTGTTGTGTAGCTAATTTATTGTGTCAATGTTTTTCTTACAAACAATCATTCATAACAAACGTCAAAATTTTAAGTAGTATGTCAAATAAATATCCTCTGTAATATAGTAAGTAGAACTTTTGTTAAATTTGGGGTTAAACACCATCTCTATGTAATCCTCATTAGTTTTAAATTTTAAGATATCAAGACTTTATATCTTAAATCTTAGGATCAAAGAAGCTCTTGCTTTTCATCTAACTTTTAACTATTGCTCGCTATGTCTTTTGTTCTATTATTATTTTAATTTTAGTCTCAATTTTGTCTTTTATTAATATCAATCTCTCCAATTCACCAATGTAAATTTTATCGTCTTCTTTCACTTTATGATTTGTAACTTTTTATGTTTTATTCAGTTTTATTTCTGAAATGCAGATAAAATTTAGAGCATTTAGAGCTTGGTTTGTAAGATGTGTGATTCTCATTTATGGTACTAGAATATTAAAATTATTTATTACGTGGTTTAAAAAATACAGTAGATTAATCAGCTGATAATAAGAGAAATAGTTGTCTTTGCAGTTATTCATATCATTGACTTTTAGGTACTGAATTAGACAACATACAGGGTTAGGCAAAAGTCTGGAACCTCCAAGTTAACTTTCTAACACGTTGCAGTAGGAAAACCAAACTCGGCACATATTTACAACATAAGAAATTGCACTTTTTCATCAAAGTTACAACTTTGCCCCAGCCCCCAAAATGGGGTATTTTGGGGACAGTCCCAAATTTTCAAAAGTAAACATCTATCATGTGACCCCTCATTTTAAAGGGGTTATCAAAAGAAATTGAATGGCGCAAACCAAAGGTCAATATCGCACCCCTAATCAAAATGGCAGCCATTTTAATTATTTAAGATGAGCAAGCAAGATAAAGTCTGGACACTCCCAGTTAACTTTTAAAATTTAATATTTTAATACTGGCCAAAAGGTGAATTCTCTTTTTTCATAAAGGTATGCTGAGTTTAGTTTTCCTGCTATAAACTGTTAAAAAGTTAATAGGGGACATATTATTGAAATTATAATATTTGTTTCAAAATTACTGCCATTTTGATTAGGGGTGCGATATTGACCTATAGTTTGCACCATTTAATTTGTCTTGAGAAACCCTTTAAAATGAGGGGTCATATGATAGGGGTTTATATTTGAAAATTTGGGGCTGCCCCCAAAATACCCCATTTTGGGGGCCGGGTACAAATTCTAGCTTTAATGAAAAAGTGCATTTTTTTTATGTTTGTAATCATGTGCCGAGTTTGGTTTTACCACTGCCACACGTTATAAAGTTAACTGGGGGTGTCCAGACTTGATCTTGCTTGCTCATCTTAAATAATTAAAATGGCTGCCATTTTGATTAGGGGTGCGATATTGACCTCTGGTTTGCGCCATTCAATTTCTTTTGATAACCCCTTAACCCCTTAAAAATGAAGGGTCACATGATAGATGTTTACTTTTGAAAATTTGGGACTGCCCCCAAAATACCCCATTTTGGGGGCTGGGGCAAAGTTGTAACTTTGATGAAAAAGTTCAATTTCTTATGTTGCAAATATGTGCCGAGTTTGGTTTTCCTACTGCAACGCGTTAAAAGGTTAACTGGGGTGTTCCAGACTTTTGCCTGACTCTGTATATATCTATATTTACCAGCTGTATTCAATTTTTATAAAAAGAACACTTAGTTACATGGGCCACTCACAGCGTCTTCTACAATTTAAAACTATTTTTTTCATTAGCTTTTAGTGTCTAATACTGGTTTTTTATTGTTGGCGTGACATTTAAGTTACTATAGTTTAAAATAAGGCGCCCTTTCAGCTTGGCTAGGTTAAAATTTTTGTATATTCGACTGAAATCAGTATTTTACATATGCATATTCTGTTGGTACATCAACTTCATTTAGTATATTTTATAAACTAGCTACAACCTTTAACATAGGGGCAGTGTCTTAGATCTATTAGTTCTATTCATTTTCAAACCCTATGTATTTGGTTTCTTGACTTAACGTTCACAACTATTAGAAAAATTTAATTATATTGGTTTATAAGTAGTTGGAAAAAACAGCAATATACATAGCTACTATAAAGTTATCATACCTTACATAATAAGAGCTATTATGGCAGAGTAATTTTAAAGATTCACAATGGATATTAATGTTTCAATGTCTCAATAATTTTAAAATCCAAGTTTACAGAAATATATTTATCTCTACATTCTGGATAATGTATGTGTGGATGTTATATCTTGTGTGTCAATCCCTCAGAGTGAGAGCATATGGTCCTGGCATAGAACCTACAGGTCCAGTTGTTGGCGCTCCTGCCATATTCACTGTCGAGACCTTCTCTGCAGGCAAAGGCAATGTGGAAGTCACAGTAGAAAATCCTTACGGAAAATTGGAACCTGTAAGTTTTATGTTGGTTGAATGAAAGTTCTTGGTTTGTAAGATAAGAAGAAGAAGAAGAAGAAGAATTTTGTGGAGTCCAGTAATATTACTTTATTCAGTTCTAAGTCATATTACAAATCAGGGCTCAATTTGAAGGGTAATATATGAAGAATGGTGCTACTGCTCCTATTTCTCTCTATATAGAAAATATTTTGAGCTTTTATAGTCAAAGTTCTGAAGAAATATTGATTCTGTGTATTGTTCTGTTGTTGTTGTTTTGTGTTGTTACCGTTGATGTAACACAGTTAGTTGTTTACAGAGAAAGGGGGTGGAGGGATGGAGAACAGGGCTTCTAGCTACCAGTAGGGTGTACTTCTTGTACCTCAATTTTTAGTGATCAATCCACTGACAGTGGATATAAGTTGTCATACAAGATTATGGATTGCATGGAAATTTTATTTCATTCTCCTTTTAAAAATAGTTTCTGTAACCCCAAATTTTTAGCTAATAATATCCTAATATCAAATCCCAAATAGATTATTTTTATGGAAACTAAGACAAAACCACATTTTATAAGTGAATAATCTGACTATCATTAAATGTTGTGGGTTCGGATCCTGGTCAATGCCACAAACATTTTACCAGTACACAGTTCACCCTCGTAGTGTACCTACCAAATCAGCCCTAGCTTTGCTGGATACGTTCCACGCACAGGCCCATAGAGGCCATGTAGACGGGCAAATACAAGTTTAAAATATTCCGCCAACTTCTTAAAAAAAATTTTTTTTTACTAAAATTACAAGACTAGAATTGTCCTTATAATTGTGAGCTAAATGCCTCAATTCCTAGTTATTATAATTTTCAAATCTCTTTTGGGACAGTATAAGCTTGTAAAACATTATTATGTTACTGAGGTCAGCTATAGGCCTATATAGTTTTTAAATTTTTTAGGTGGACATCAGATTCAACAAGGACAGAAACCTCACATACAGTGTGTCCTACACACCCAAGATAGAGGGTACACACAAAGTGACAGTCAAGTTTGCAGGAAGAGAGATTCCCAAGTCTCCATACTCTGTTCTAGTGGAAGGACATGCAGGGGATCCTTCAAAGGTAACTGCATCCGGGCCAGGACTTCAACCTGAGGGTGTCATGATCAACCGACCTACCTACTTCGATATTTGTTCTAAAGGTAAACACGATACCACTGAACTAATAAACTACTGAAGTAAGATAGTATCTAGAAAGTTATGACTCTCAACTAAAACGTTTATTGTTTAGCTAAGAACATATCTCACTTTTAGAATTGGTTGTCTTTAAATGGTACATTTGTACTTAAAGCCTTCCAATCACCAAGTGCAATTTGCTGTGAGTGCCAGATTGCAATGATGTGGGGATTGAAAGTCTACCGTTATCTATTTCTGTACCTATATTACAATATGGAAATTCCCAATAAAGTTTGGAGGTTCAAAACAGTTAATTTGGCAAAGAACTTTGGTTCAAAACCAATTTTGACCCAACTTTCAAGTGTAATTTGCTGTATTTAGATTTTTAGACAGTTCCATAGGTACCTTGGCCATGACCGCTCATCTTTGAGCATTTACCTATATTATCATTATTTTTTAATGCCTATATGTTTTGCTGTAACGCTTTATACTAAATTTAAAGACACCTGTCATTAAATAACCTCCAACCTTCAAACTCCAATCAGAGGTTAACTGTAAGAAAGGACCTTGAGGTCCTTAGTTTGCCTCAATAAAGAAGCATCTTCGTTTCATTTCACATGTCCATACAGTAACCAATGGGAAATGCAGCTCTGTAATGAGGACAAACTTTGAACACAGATCATCACAGGACTGATTTTGAAAGGCATGTTTTGAAGTTGCTACCGTTTAACATTTCAAGATGCCAGTATTTATGTTATATATGTTTTAGTTTTGTATCTCAAAATAAGTAATATTTACAACAATAAAAAAATACTCTAACCTTAAAATTTTTACTAAATTTGTATAACTCGCTGAACTTTTCATAGTTGATCTTCTAAGTTTATCTCACCCAAACAATAAACACACACAAGTTGGTATTTGTCCTTGCTATTCTTGTAAGTGGAAGACTGTCATGTTATAAAAATACTTTTCTATTTTCACTTGACATTTCTTTGAGCAGTTTACAAAATCTAACTGTTTTCACCGCAAGCTCAAGCATTGCTGTTTGTTTTCAAATTTGTCTAAAAAATATGTATAAACAGAGGTGTCACTTTGGTAGTTTGTACCATCATATCATTGTGGTGGATTTTTTATGTAGAAAGGGGTGGAGAAAAACTATGTAAGTGGGGAAACCTGAAATTAACAATTTTTTAAATTATTTGCTTGAGGCAAGGGTTGGAAGTATTTACCGAGTCATTGCTTTGCTCTAGCTGTCAAGTACTATGTCTTGACAACCACTGTATTACTCAGGCCTTCCTCTTTTGTCATTACGTCTACAATTATATCTCTCTATATCTAGAGTAAGCTATTTAATCTGAGAATCAAAGAGATAGTGTTATACTGTACTACAGTGTGTAGTATTCTGATATAATTTTTTAAAATCTTAAAATCGGATTTAATGTTTGGTCTATTAAGCTGGGTTTTCCTAGGCGCGGACAGAGGAACGCGGAGAACAGACTCATCTTGTCTTAGGTAATTTAATGTTACAGTTTTCCTAGAAGCGTAGCAAATGCCATGTCAATCGGTTTTCTGCTCTCCGCCCTCCTCTTCTGTGTCCAGGAATACCCGGCTTTACTCATGACTCATTTTACTCTAATAATGACAGTTTACTTAACTAAAACACGAATATAGTAGAATAGGTCTTATATCACTTCATGATATATCTACATATTTTTACAGACTGTGGTTGAGCCTGATGATGACTGGTCAAAAGCAGTCACCATTGTAATAGCTTTTATATTTATTTACTGGGTATATATTATCAAAATAAGTGTTGGGAAAAATTGTATATTCGTCTGATAGAACCAACACCAAAAATGTCAACCGAGAAACTATCTAAAACAAATAAATCATTGTGTAGAACCTCACCATCTCTTAATCTTTACCTTCTTGGGAATCAGATGGATTCCTAGAATAAAGAATCCTCCTCATATAATTGGTGCTTTACAGGAGCAGGACGTGGAGTCCCGGAGGTGATTATCCTAGATCCTGCGGGACACAAGAACACTGTTCCAGTCAAGCTGCGCCAGATCTCCCCTGATGACTGGAGATGTGAATACGTCTCTCCAATCATAGGCCTGCATTCTGTCAACGTCTTTTTTGCTGGACAATCCATCAATAACAGCCCATTTGGAGTTAGAGTCTCGCCAGGTATATAATTCATTGGAAAGAATATATTACATTTTTGTCTTTGTTGGACAGAATACTGTCATAAAATTTTGAAATAATATATGTTTACCAACATGTGGTTTGAATAAATGATTTTTGTGGACAGGGATAAGTTCTCTGGTTAACAGTTGATTGTCTGTATGTGCCGGGAGCCTACCAGTAGACCGACAAGATACTTGGTCGTCTGGCCACTAGACCGTCTTTTTTAATTAAATAGATAAATACTGAAAACCAGTACGTCGACAAGTTGTTTCATCGTCATTCCAGTTGACCGGCCTGTAAAACTAAATTATTATATACGAGAAACCAACTTGTCGTCAATCGACAAGACCGACTTACCACTTGCTCGTCTTTTAGGTGGGGATAGCGGGCAGAGTGGGAGGAGTTAACCGGGGATTACCCAGGAGTTTGAGGCGCTTCTCATGGTTGAACCACCTCGCTCGAGGCTAGAAGCCAGTATTGCCAACTGATAGTACTATAGCTCCGTCGAACACTACACACGCGGCATGTTTATTGTACAGTCTGGCGTTTAGTTGACGTTGGCGCGCAATTCTAATAGATAGTTTCGTCGTTTCTATAGCAACCGTGCCGTGACCTTGTCCTTGGTCTCGCGCATTCCTGTGCCTTTGTATTATTTAATCTGCATCGAAAGATAAGACTCGCTTATATGCATTGACTATTGAGTCAAATAACAATTTCATTCGGGGTTTTTGATAATTTCTTTGGATAAAACTACGTACCGTATATTGTAGAATCAAATTTGTACTACTGTACACTTTATTATTATGATTAGCATTACACATAGTATAAATAAGTCAACCCTAAGTATGTCTTTACATTTTTATCCAAACGCTGAATTTGTGACACAAAAGCTGAATGTTTATAGCTGTTATGTTAAGCAAATTATTTTATGCCAATAGCTAGTTTAGAATCTTAGCGTCGGCTGATAGACTTTAAAAAAATTGAAACCTAATTTCTAAAAAACTGGGACCCTAAACTAAAATTATGGCTTTGACATTCCCTAGTTCTCAAAATTATCTTTCTTTCAACACAAAAATCATGAAAATCCGTCGAGTGGTTGATTCAGAATCGTGAAATAAAAAAAAAACACTGTTTCGTTTTAATATCATAGATAATTGGCAAATGGGTCCTTTCAATGATTTAATTTTTAAGGATTTAATTTTTCTAGGACGCATTTCTTTGAATTGCAGCTTAAATATTACATACAATATAAAACCCAGCTGATCATAATGGAAACAAATATGTTCTTCATAAGGATAACATGGGATCTTTAAAAGCCAATGAGGCAGAGCCCAAGTGGCTTTTTAAAAAATGTAAGGTCAGTTTGCAAATCTACGCAACACGCTCTTTCTAATGAGACGTCAATAGATAAAATCGTTTAAGAAATGGCGGAGGAGTTCAACCGACAAATTTCGTGTTGGCCTATTAATTATATAGAAGATGATCTGAACATTTTATCTTTGTTCGCGGAGAATTCTAATTTAACTATCCTATTGACACCACTTTCTTAGCTGTAATGAAATGTTCAAAGTAAGTTTTTACAAATAGATTTCATGTAATTCTTCAATAATTTAAATGTAGTAGCTAAAAAACGTGTATTTAATTGAAGTAAATTAATATAGGCATATTTATATTCACTGTACTGTATATAAACAAATATCGATTGAGAAACAAACAATTACACGTAATAAAAAACCTCACTAGTCCGCTGCATTGTGATAGCTGGAAATCGTCGGAATAAAAACCGCCGCTACAAGATACAGAAGTTGGTACGCCTACAGCGCCCTCCACAGCTGCGCGCGCCGCTGGCACTGCTGCTCAACACATCCCCACCTAAAGGACGAGCAAGTGGTATGTCGGCCGGGTCGATTGACGACAAGTTGGTTTCTCGTATATAATAATTTAGTTTTACAGGCCGGTCAACTGGACTGACGATGAAATAACTTGTCGACGTACTGGTTTTCAGTATTTATCTATTTAATTAAAAAAGACGGTCTAGTGGCAAAACGACCAAGTATCTTGTCGGTCAACTGGTGGCCCCCCGTATGTGCCACCAAAAAAGTATCGTGACTTATAATTAATCAAATTGTATCAATCGAAATTAATGGTAAAGAGTGAAAACACCACATCAGTTAATGTATAACAAATTTTGTAAGAGCTCTGGAATGTTACAAGTAAGAGGTGCCTAAGAAAAGTAACTGTCAGAAACTAAATGAGAATGCGTTCAAAACAGTTTTTGAGATTATATGTTCGGTTAACTATTTAGAAAAGAAAGGATGTATGCAATACATTTTGACAACAGTAAAATATCGATGTTTGTGTAAAAGTTTAAATGAAGAAACGTTATCTAAAGTCATTAAACAATTATTGATTATTGGTTTTCTTTTCTAGTATCAGATGCCAAGAAAGTGAGATGCTGGGGACGTGGTCTGCAGCCGCAGGGCGTCAGAGTCAACGACGCTGCAGACTTTCATATCCTCACAGCTGGCGCAGGGGAGGGAACTCCAGATGTCCGCATCATTGGACCAGGTCAGTCACTGCAGTTATCATTGAGGATTACTGCTCAAAAACAACATATGCAATGAAAACATGTCAAGAATTTTCCAAACACAAAATAAACAAAGTTGCCATTAAAATTTTTGTTTTGCCTTTTACCAATTTTAAGGCAGATTATATTTGAACAACTGCAGCCAAAAAAGTTAAAAAAAACCTGTCAAACTGTTGAATGATCCGGTTATTTGGTTAGGCGAGAATTGGTTTTAACCTACAGGTTCATTGTCAAACTAAATATTTATTAAAGGGTTTAAGGTTAAGGGTCTCGACTCACCTTCTGGGGGCAACTCCATGCAACCCATATTATTTCCATTTGACCAAAACTTTGTTTGATGTCCAAGTATTTATGTCTGTATATGTTAAACTAATAAAAATTGAATTACTAGCTGAATAAGAGAATCTTGCATCCAAATTTCAATAGTAAGCCTTAATGTTGCCTTACAAAAGAAACACATATTTTGGTGCTCTTGGTATACATTTCCAAATAGGTACAACAGATAAATCATGGCAAGTAACCTCTACCAAGCCCTACCAAGGCTACTAATTTTTTTAAATAAATGTATAGAAAATCACTTTTAAGCTTTGTGTTACAGCTTCAATCAACAGCAAATAGAAATCATATAAATCTAACTACAATACGACTCTCAACAAATTTGTCTCATTACTGAAAACTTGATGCTTATAAATGTCAAATCTGTTGAACAGGTGGTATTAACGAGCCTGTAAAAGTTACTAAAGTTGATGGTACAACTTATGATGCTGTTTACCATCCGAAGAAGGAAGGAAGATATGTTGTGATGGTAACATACGCTGGCACAGAAGTACCAAAGTCTCCTTTCGAAGTGAACGTTGGTCCTTACAAGGAAACGGCAATCAGAGCCTATGGTCCTGGACTAGTAGGAGGGGTCGTAGCATATCCGGCTCTCTTCACTGTGGAGACTAATGGAGAAACTGGTGCCCTAGGTAAGAAATTTATTGCTCTGTTTAAAATCAAAAACTTGCTTTCAAAACCTGTAAGCTCCATATTATTAAAATAAAAGTAGCTTGATTAAATAAATGTAGATATTAAGCACTTTATGGGGTGGGGGAGCGCGGTAAGAGCACGGGACTTCAGTCCCTGAGGTCCCGGGTTCAAATCCCGCCAAGTCACCATTTTATCTAAGTGATAATGCCGGAACCCCTAGGTCTAGCCTGAAGTAATGTGAAAAACAATTCCGGGCTCGTGCCTAGCATCTTAGGACAAAAAAACAAAAAGCAAAAAAACACTTTATGGGTTAATTTTGTCATAGATAAAATCTCTTTTCTAAGAAGAGTATTCCTCGAGATAATTCCCTGTAAACATGCTTCTACATTCAGTTGTTAATAGTATAAACCTCAACAATGATTCGACCTTAATTGCTAGTCTAAGATCAGTTTAACTTAGAAAGTTGAAAGTTCCGCTTTCAAGGTACAAATAACCGAGTATCAAGTTGAACTAAATAAGTTGTGGTTTATTATTTTGAATTTCTTACTATAATATAAAGTAAATGACTCTCTATTGAAGCTCAATGTTCTTAGTGAGAACTTTAAAGTTTTCCTACTAAACAAACCCACTGAACTTGTTTATATTTTTTTCCACATTTTAAGGAGGATTACCCAAATATGCCGAACTATCTCTTTGGGAAAATTTCCAAAGATATCTTGTTTATGTTAGACCAGATCAGATAGTTGATAAAATTATACAAAACAAAGTTATAATGTTTGTATTTTGTTGTGTAGGTTTTGGTATTGAGGGACCTTCACAAGCCAAGATAGACTTCACTGACAATGAAGACGGCTCAGCAGATGTTCGCTACTACCCGACAGTTCCTGGCGAATACGTGATACACATCTTGTGTGACAATGAGGACATACCCAAGTCACCTTACATTGCTCAGATCCTTCCCAACACCGACTATTTCCCAGAGAAGGTAATAACCTCAAAAATAGGTTCCTTTTGTTATGATTTGGGCTATTATATACACCTTAACAAAATTTAAAATCCACACTTTTTAGAAAGTAGTCCTAAAACAATTTTTTTTAAACGTTTTTTGAAAGCATGAGTCCAAGGATGTATAAAACTAGAGTGTTGTTGGCAATGGGGAACTCATTCATTTAAATAGCAAAACTTTTCTGATCCCTAAAGTTTTATTTATTTCAATTAAGAGTACATTGTGGTGGTTTTAAAACAATTTATTTTGTTACCAATTCAATCACGACAAAATGAGAGGATACATACATCGGAAATTGAGACAACATTCTAGTTCCCACTAACCGTAGATTGGTAAAGTTTTCAAAAGTTGTTCATGGTGAGCTTTCATCCAGGTGCTATCACGAAAAGTGAAAATATTTAATTTTGTACAGTGAATACATATTTTCACAGATATTTGAAAATAACCCTAACTAAAGTAAATCTGAGCATAAGCAACTTTCCAGTAAAAAAAAAGTTTTTTAAGAAAACTTGCACTTAGATCCAGTATCCAGGAAGTTTGTTGCTAGTAGCTTATTTTTTCCCAAAATAAAAAAGTACCTTGTTCCCAGAACTATTTCTTAAATGATTGATGACTATGGTGGTTGAATTTTTTTTTCCAGGTTGAATGCTACGGAAAAGGTATTGAGAGGGATGGAGTGGTCAAAGGCAAGCCTACAGAGTTTACAATAGACACACGAAGAGCTGGGTCTGCTCCTCTAGATGTGCAGGTTAATATACTACTTTTGTCTTTTATTAAAACAGATATCATGACGAAATGTTGGAAGTACAGTATGTGCACTCTTTAAAATTGTATAGTACATATTTGCCGTGGAAGATGTAAAATAAAAGCACAAGAGGTAGAGTTTCTATGATTGTTATAATAGCAGGCTTACCTGAGTGGGAAAAGGTCCACTCTGGTCTACGTATAATTTTTCAACTGGAGTTGACTTCTAACTTTTGTGTACAGTTGTGTATAGTTTTTTGTGTTTCTTGTGTTTAAGTGGACTATTTCCCACTAAAGTAAGCCCTCTATCCTCTAAAAATCCTATTCATTTGCCGATCATTTTAAGCATTATTTTATTCACTAGTTCTTCTCGCCTGTAATTAAAACCGTACTGCTTTAAACTCCTATTTATGATTTAATATTGATTCATTTCCACCTACTTACCTTGCCTTGCCTTTTAGCTAACTAAACTTCTTTTGACCTCACCAATAACACCTTACAACACCTTTGATCTTGAATTCAGTCAACTTCTGCTCCTATTCTTCTGACGTCTTTTATAATTCCTTATTATTTGTCCATTGAAAGAACCAGTGGAAATCATTAATGTATATGTTTCCTTCTTGTAATACTTCTTACGCTGTTTTCGCTATCACATTTTCTTCCCCCCTTGCCACATTGCCTAGTTACCTAAGTCTTCTACTTTTGATTTATACTATTATGACATGTCTAGGTTTTTATATAGCTCTCATAATTCTATGTTGGTTCAGATCTTCCATGTGCTATCATCATTATCAGGCAGTAAATACATAAGGTTTTATTAATATATGATCTAATACTGTTGGCTTTTTCCAGTAAGATTTTATGTTGCTTATAACACATTTCGTGAACATCAAGACTTTGAATACATGAAAAAGTATTTTCGTTAGGGCTAGTAAGGGGTTTTTACTTTCATTATACTGCTATTATAATTATAATTTTTAAATCGGTTTTCAAAATATACTAGAAACATATTCTTCATTTTTTACAGGTGGTGGACTCAAACCACAACAATGTTGATATGAATCTCAAGGACAACAAAGATGGAACATTCAAATGCCAATATACTCCCAAACTTGGATCTAGGCACACAGTGCAGGTATGTTACTCATCTAATAGCATAGGTGTAAAAAAGTAAACCGTTTCCAAGTGTATAGAAGATCAGTTCTACTTAAACTCAGAAATTTTATTCACTTGCTAAAAATTGTATCTTATTACTTGATCCAGTCCCGGGCATCTGTAGGTTTTTTTAACAGTTAGTAGTAGTAGTAATGCTAGTAATAATGTAGTAATGATAAGTTACCAATTGTTTGTGCGAATAGCTATAAAAATAGTGTAGTAGAAAATATTCACTTTTATGATGAGTAGACTACACAGGTGCATTAAATATTAATTTTGTTATTGTTATTAATATCTGGATCAAATTAATTTAGATGTACAAGTGTGGTTGTTTATCCATCACAGGTATGTCAGGTACAGAGCTATCCACACACACTTGATGGGTTTATGTTGACCTCTTTCCATTAAAATTTTCCATCTCCATGAAAATCCATCTTTGAAAATGACCCTGGCGTAGACACTAAGACAAAAAAAAACTAAACAGGATTTTTTTTTCACTCTCAAGATAATGGAACATATGATTTAGCCCTTTTGACAATTTATTATTTTATATATGTTTACAGGTAAACTATGGGGGCGTAGCCACAAATCGCAGCCCTTACCGAGTTTTTGTCTCTCAACCGCTCAACCCATCCCGAGTAGAGATATTTGGACCAGGCATAGAGGACGGAGTTAAGTCCAAAACTCCAACACATTTCAATGTTGATTGCCGAGAAGCCGGACAAGGTTGGTGTGAATTCTGAAATGTTAGTTAATACAGAAAAAGCTGAGGTATTTTTATGTTTTTGAGTTAATGAACCAGTCTGGGACACTTAATGAATAAATTTACTGTTTAGTGAATAAGAACTGAGTTTGTGGAGCTATAAACTATTGGGAGCTATGAATCCTTCTCCTCTTCCAACTTTATCCATTTACTTCTCATCTCTCCTCTTTCAAAGATTACTTATTGATTAAAGGATAGAACACTAGTATCTCATTCTTGGTTGACTGACTGACAAAAATAAAATATTTGTTGATAGGTAATTAATTAGTTGTTCATCTGTCTAGTACAAATATTTTAATATAATGATCCTAGATGGAAGTTTTCTTTGGGTTCCCACTCAAATAGAGCCCTTCTTAGCAGTTTATAGCCTTTCATACACTAAATACATCAATAAGTACTGCAGTACAACCAATACTTTCACACAGTTGGATCAGTTAAGGCACCTCTTGAGTCTACCTTTTCATAACTAGATTGTTCTGTTTAGAAATGAGAAAGTCATTGCTTAAAGGATGTATCTGTACAATACTATGGTATGTTCCTGACTAAGTGTAGAGTAATGCTGACTAGTTTTATTTATTGTTCCAGGTGACTTGAAAGTGTCAATCACAGCGAGTGACAAGTCTGAAGTTCCGTTCCGTTTGATCAACAATGATGATGGAACGTTCGTGGTGGAGTACTGCCCTGCGTCCACTGGCGTACACACCATCACTGCTAGCTACGGGGGCATCAATGTTCCCCAGTCCCCCATCAGAGTGCCCGTCAAACCTCACATCGACCTGTCCAAAATCAAAGTGGATGGTCTTGAACCAAGTAAGAGTCTATTTATTAAAAATTCCAAAATAACAATATCCTTACATGACAAATTAGCCTATGATTTATCTGAATAAACTTATAAAGGTTTAAGTTATCTGTATTGCTGCCAAAAAAATCTGTTATAGTGTAAACAAATTAAAGATTTTTTTTGCTACTATAATTTGACCACATCAGGTCAGAATGTTAGCCAATTAGTTGGCATTCAGCCTGAAGAGTTGCTCTAATTATTGCAGCTCAAAACCGCTAGCTGTTGTCAATTTTTACTCAAACGGACCGCTTTGACAACAACATTTTATTATACTAATTAATTAACATAATTTAGAGGCCAATTCTCATCAAACATATCCTTACAATAATTTTAATAAAAGCTATTTTTACTCCACACTCAAAGCTAAAACAAAGCCAGTAAGTTTAGTTGTAAGTTGTATTTTTGGATTTTTTTTTTTTGAAATAAAGATTAATGATTCAGTGAATAAGTCCTATTTAGCTTTTTACATAAGGAGTTTAAAAACTGTTTTGTATTTCAATAAATACAACCATAAGGGTATTTGTAATATACCTACTGTAGTGTTATGTTGAAACATTGCTCAAGTACAAAAAAAAATAATTTCTTTGAGGTTAAAAATAATTTTAAGTTTTATTAATTTTATAAAATGCAAATAACAATATAATAGTATATTACTTTACTAGTCCTGAAAATAGGTGTTTCCTGGACGAGTGTGGTTGTTCCCGTGCGAGACAAAGTAGAGTGCGGGATTACCATACGAGTCCGGTAAACACAATTTGGACGAGTGACGTACGACATTTTACGCCATACTACTCTAAGCTAACTTAACAATCAAAAATCTGTACAAACCCTTATATATTCCCACCGACTAAAGGACTAACAATCACTACTCATAACCTCTAAGAGAGGTTATGTTTTTGTTTATAACCACTTATTGCCAAAAAAAATCAGCTGGTTGGTGTCCGGTAAAAACTCATTACAGTACAGTTGTACGTAATGAAATCCTATATGATTAAGCTGGCGGCAAACAACTGTTTTTTTTTACTAAATCCTTGGGTGGGAATTAAGTTTGTTAAAACAGTGTAGTGTGGCGTGAAAGATTGTCTTTTGATTTTATTTTCAATAATTATTTTTAAAATTAATAAACCTAGTAAATTATTTTGGTAGAGTTAACAGAAGTAAGGTTTATGGTTTTTTTAATTTCATACTTCAATAGTGAAATCACCCAGAATTCCAATGAGTTCACAGGCTTTCAAAACATCAGAATGATCATCAAATCCACAATAAAAGCAACAAATTGTTTTCACAGAACATTGAGTTGTGTTATGTTGACGTAGTTTGATGTGAGGTTGAATGATTGTTGGGCGTACACAGCGGCCCCGGTGAACAGTTTACAGCAGTTCCGAGTGATCACCGAGGGAGCCGATCGTGCTGAGTTCGCTGTCTCCATCACCAGTCCTTCCGGCGCTAAGGTAAAAGCTCACGTCATCCCTACTCACGAAGGGTTCTTGGTCAACTTCACCCCAACAGAGTTGGGAGAGTATTTGTTGAGTATTTCCTTCGGAGGGGAGCCCATCACCCCGACTCCGTACCGTGTCACTTGTCTGCACGGGAGCGACGCCAACCGTGTGAGAGCCAGTGGCCCCGGGCTGGTGCGAGGTATCGTGGGGCGTCCCGCAGACTTCATCATCGACACCCGAGGCGCTGGTCAGGGTAGCCTGGGTGTCACTGTAGAGGGTCCTTGTGAGGCGGCCATCAACTGTCGAGACAACGGAGATGGGACTTGCTCAGTAGCCTACTTACCTACAGAAATAGGAGACTACACAGTCAACATAACCTTCAACGACCGTCACATTCCTGGATCTCCGTTCCAAGCCATCATCTTACCTGAGGCTGATATCACCTGCATCAAAGCCTCCGGCAACGGGATTCAACCGCACGGTATGCCCGCATGGATGTGTGCTCTTTGTTTGTTTTATTTTTGCCGTGTTTTCCCTATTGGACTGTTGGATGGTAATGAGAATGTTGTTTATTTTACAATGTAAACTAATATTGTATTTTGTTAGTTTTGTGTAACATATGTTTTCAATGTTTAATTTTTGTTTGCTTGTGATTTAATATATATATATTTAATATATATATAATTAATATGTATTTAGTTATATAACCATTCAGTTATCAACTGCTGTACTTTTTTTCACATTCACTTTCAATATAGGTTTTGTGATATCTATTAAAACAAGCTATACAATAATATTGAACTGAAATCTCAAATTCAATTAGTTTATCAGAATTATTACACATAGAACTCACATTCAAATATTTTGAATACTGTGTAACCACCCACTGAATACATAAAGTGAATCTGAAAAATGGTTTAATTTATAAGGTATGTTTCCATTTGAAGAAGTCCCTCAAAATGTCATGAAATATGTACTAACTACAACTTTCACTGCTATACTCCATAATATTACATGTACCATACCGTTTCCATCTAAACTAAATTCACAGCACATGTATTGTAATAAATAAATCCAATAAATATCCCTACTAAATCCAATGAGGGATTTGTATGAATAAAGGAAACATACCTTAAGTTATGGTGTTAAATGTTATACTTAATTGGCCATCTAAATATTTGTTTTTAAATGTACTACTGTCAAAGTAAAACGTATGTACATTTAGTAGAACTTAGTTGACCTTCTTTAGATAAAAATATTGTTGAAAATGTAAAATATAAACATTTTTACCTTTACTCCTCTTAAAAATGAATGCTGCACTGGAACTGTAATTTAATATAATTGTTTTTCAGTTATAAAATGGATTTAAAATTATAAAAATTAGTTAGCAAAATTTATATTAGTAAAATATAAATATTCTAAAATACAGTTTAATAATTTTGTCAGTGCCTAAACTTGAATAGAGACTTAGATAGACATGAATAGACAGTGTTTGAATGGAATTTTACCAAAAACTTACATGTTGTGATAAAGTAGTGTTGATCAACTTTGACAATTGGGGTTTCAGAACAACTGATGAAACAAGAAATTAAATTGTTTTTGACATCTGAAAAATATTTTACACAGAGTTAGAGCTATGCATGTTATATACCCTAAATTTACACACGAGTAATCTTTTTTCCAGCTTTATAATAGTGGCATTTTATTTAAATATGTTTTAAAAGATTATTTTTAGTATTGAGATTTAGCTAATTTCCCTGTATGGAAACAGCTTTTATCCGAGTATTACGATAAAACTTCCAAAGGCACAGCACATGATCGTTTAGGGTCTATTGATGGTTTGACATATGTATGTGCGTCTCTATAGGAAAAATAACACATGTCAAAACTCCCAGATTTTAAAGTTTGGATAAAACAATTAAAACTAAATAATATTAGAATAGGCTTTGAAACCAGCCCAACAGTTTAAATAATAAAAATGTTATTTATGTTGGACAACTAAATCACATATGCATTTTCCTAATGGACCTATTTGAAATACAAGTCAATATATTAACCAGAAATCGGCCCATAATCCCAGGATTATTTAACTTATTTAACACCAAGTATTTTAACTGAGTTTATCATTAACAAATAGTGTGATTCAACTAGTGTGATGTTCACCTGTCTAACATCTAGTTTTTAGAAAGGTAAGATAGAGAATGCTATTAAAGTTTTAGTAAATGGTTCTTATCTGTTTTGAGTTAACTAACAGATACGAGACTAAACATGAGGCTTTGTTTGTACTGTGATATTTAGGAGTTTTTGGAAGTTTTTTGAATGTATATGCTTTTTATTTTAACATTGGTTTTGGTTATGTATGTTATTGCTCTTGTTAATGAATATAATGGGATAAATTGTAATAAAAATCTATATAAACATGTAAAAGCATAGGAAAACTATTTTTGGATTAGTTTTTATGCTAGGAAACTGTGTATTTCAATGTGTTGAAATTAATTTGGTGGAAGTGATGTAATCTTAAACTCGTAGTAATTGTTTTTCTGGCATTGTGTAAAAAATCAATTAGGGTCTTGGTAGAGAAACTGTCCATAAAACATGTTCCTTACATTGGAGATAGGTGGTAGAATATTAAGGGAGTGTGGTGGATATGGAAGTAATACCACCACTTTTTAGTCAAACAATATCAGCCAAATTATTATGGTTGACTGTTCAATCTGGCTAAGATATACATAAATCGTAATTATACATTACGAAGTGAAGCTAAAAGGTTGCGTACCACAGTTACTGTAAACACTACATTTCTAACAAAATATTAAGTCCTTGATAACAAAAGGCACAACCAAAGTCCACATCTAACGTTTTGTTTCTGAGCACCCCTCGCAGTTGCATTTTGCTAATATGTTTTGTCCGGGATTTTCCTTGCTCAAAAAGATTGCAGAAATGCTATAGATCATTCTGTGTCCCATCCAGAAATTGCACTTGCCTCTTTCTGTCTTTATAGATCGTTGTTATTACTTGATGCTTATTTTTTTTACTCTCAGCCATGTGAATTCTGTTTGAAATCTAGTAAGTAAAAATTTTGTTTTTGCAACAAAGGAGTTTACGTTGACTCTCCAACGGACTTTGTTGTGGACTCACGAGCGGTGAGCGCTGGAGATGATGGGAAGGTGACCTGCACCATCACCAATCCCTCTGGGAACTGTACTGAGAACCACATAACTCCGCTAGCCGACGGGACCTACCGCATCAGCTACACACCATTCGAAGAAGGTTAGATTGCTGGCTCCTCCACCATTGACCTTTTGAAATTGAAGTAGACATCCTGTCTATATGGACCAACTATAGCCAATATTGTATTGAAAAATAATAAAGTTGAGTGAGCAACTCGCATAGTTTGCCACAGTTTAAAATTTAATCTTCTCAGTTTGTATAACTGAGGTAATTGATGTGACATGAAAGATGCAACATTCTGTTAAACGTCCTTGCAATTTGATTCAGTTTAGTGATTTTGTTTGTTGCAATTTTCATTGGTTCGGTTTTTGTTTTATTGTTTGTCAGTTTTCTGTTAATTTTGTTTCTAAATGGATAAAATTACCACTTATACTAGATGGCGCTAAAAGGATCGTCAGATTTTAACTGCGTAGTACTAGTAGCTGGTGGAGGGTCGGGTCCACTGCCGGCCGTCTGTAAGACAACCATAGTATCCAATTTGCCGCGAGATGGCGCAGTGGACGGTCGAGCACCACGTTTTTGCTGTGGAAACAGTTAATCTTTTATTACGGTGTAACGGTACATGTTTCAACGACATTTTGGTGTAGGCCTAGCCCATAATGAACTGGTTCCTGATCGCAGATCAATATCACATTGGTTGACTGCATTACGGACAACAGGGTCTGTCATGAGTGGTAAATCTACTGGACTCCCATCACGAACGGCAGTTACTCCAAAAAACACAGAGACCGTAAGAGCGTGAGTGCTTCAAAGTCCGCTACATTCTTTTTATGGTTTTTTTTATTTTTACATTTTTATGGTTTAATTGACATAGCCTACTAGCAAATTTGTAACTTACAAAGTTATTTTGTGTAATGGGGCATTTAAAAGTATCCAGAAACGTAAGTCAGTAAAATTCATGTGTAAAATCATTTGCGTTATATTCATTTCAAAACCGACCATCCTTTTTGCGCCACCCTGTATAATCGTATGTGGCTAAGCCACAATAATGGAAATTATTTTTAAAAGGATTGCTGTTGGTGATGCTAGATTTTTATGTTGATACACGGATACAGTGATGCAGGGCACATAAAACTTAAGTTTCACTAATAAAATAACTGATGGGCAATGTGTACAATACTCCTTGAAAAAACAATAACATTAGCAATTTTTTGTTCCTAAACACTCATGGTGTTTATGTATTGTTTTAACCAGTGATTACGTTTTGGTACATCTCCTAAAAATCTTTGTTATGTTTTATATGTGAAGAAAGCCAAAAACCAGTATTTTCTTAATTTCTGTCACACTGTTAGTTTTTCTCTCTGACCGTCAGTTTTTTGTTTCCAATTTTAAGTAGTTTTCCAACCATTATTTTATTTTTGTGATAGCAGGACAGTTCTTTTTTTAGATTTACAGCATTTACTTAAGACATATTGGAAATTTAATATCTATAAATAGAAATACATTTAATGTTAAGCCAATTCTGGCGCTAAAACTTGACCTTTTGTTTCCTCTAGGTCAACATACCATTGACATCTTGTATGACGGTCTTCCCATTCCTGGCTCTCCGTTCAAGGTAAACGTTAGACGAGGTTGTGACCCATCAAAGTGCCGCGCCTACGGTCCTGGCCTGGAGCAGGGCGTCATCGACAAAAGAAATGCCTTCACTGTTGAAACCAAAGGTATGCAATCTTTTATAATTAAATGTTTAGTCCTTACTAGTCTTGGTAATACTATAATAGCCTTTGGACACCGTTACGTAGTAGAATATGTTTTTTCCATCTAGTAAAATAATGTTATTTTTAAATTATTATAAACTTGTTGGATTACGTAATTAATGAGTGAAAACTGAGCTTTCCTTTTCAAACATTTGACCCCTCATTTAATTCGACTCCACAGAAATGATTCATAGAACTGTCTACTATTTTGGCAGACTTTTTTTCATATTTTCCTAATAGAACATATTATTAAAACTATAAAACAACCATTTTAGGCTAAAACTATAAAGAAAACCACAACTCCAAAATTTCAAACTTAATTTTATGCAACTTAACAAATAGTTTGTTTTTTACATAAATAATGTATATTGTTTTTAGGAAGGATGTAACATAGAGACAAGGATTTCTTCCTAGCTTTTAGGATTTCTTTGTGAGGATGACAAGCTAACCTGAATGGGAAAGAGTCCAAACTGGCTCAAGAAACAAAAAACTTTACACTTTATACACAAAACATTAGAATATTTCGATGTCACTGACAGCATTTTCAACTAGGGAAGAGAGAGTTTTTCAAGCATAATGGTTGTATGTTGTTTTACTTAATAAGTGTGTATGTCCCCAAAACATTTGATTTATTTACCTTCCATCAAGTAAAGCTTCTTATCTGAGTTAATAAATTTTATCTCCTAATACAACCTTGTGTCATACAATAAAATTTCAAATAATTCAATAAAGTTTATGTCAGACAAGACTTAACATATTTATAAAGATTCCAGAAACTTGTAAAACAATCTATCCTCCTTCATATTTGCCTCAAACTGCACACCTTGTTTGGGTCACTGAGTATATCTAGGGCCAATGATTACTAGATGATTTTATATTTTATTCAGGTGCTGGTACTGGTGGACTAGGATTAGCAATAGAGGGTCCTTCAGAAGCCAAAATGACTTGCAAAGACAACAGAGATGGATCATGTTCTGTCGAGTATCTACCCACAGAACCGGGTGAATACGATGTCAGCATCAAGTTTTCGGAACAACACATACCAGGCTCTCCTTTCAAGGTTTGTATTTTTGAATTTGAAGATTTTTAAAGTGTTGATTTAGAGTCAATTTAAGTGTTGTCTGCAAAGTCTTGAAAGTAAAGTTATGGTATTACTTCTTACTTTTACAGCCTTGGTCATTTATACTCAAGAAAGTATATGGCCTTCCTTTCTACAATGGATTCTTTTTTACCCTCTGTGTCTTCTTCATCGGTTTTCAAAAATCTTTGGCCAATTAATTTTTCCACTAATTTCCAGGGGGTTCCTTCCACATTTGTTTTATCATAGCTTCTTCTTCTCTCCTTATATTATATCCAGTCCAATTCAATCGTCGGTTTTTAATCCAACAACCATATCAGATGCTTAAAACAGATCTTCAGTTTCCTTTTATGCTAGAGTCTATGTTTTATTTTTGTTTTGGTGGTTTACAAATATCACTGAGTCCTTTTTTTTAATAGTGTATTACACAATTTTACCATCAAATCGCTCAAGTATCATTTCCTATAACCATTCTACATTTGGCAGAACTTATTGATGAAAAACAATTGTATAACACTTACTATTGCATTTTGGTAATAATTTAATTTCCAAGAGTTCTAGAAAGGTTGCTTGGTTAAGACATACCAAACTTGGATAGAAATGAAACTAAAGATTACAACTTCAACAATTGGGGGTTGAAAACCAAATATCTGATAACATCTATTTTTCACAGTTTATATTTTTCAGTGAATAAAAATGTTGCACTAAGCACATGCATGAAAATGAATGAAATTATAAAAATAAATCTTACCGTTACTGATTTTGATATAGTCAGTGGATAAGGGACTTACAGTGAGGGGTATGGTACCACTGAGAAAAACTAAATTTTTAATTCTCTATACTCTGTAAGATTTTTAACAGACAACATAAAGGTATGTTTTAAATGTTTTTCAAAGATGATCCTAGCTTTTAGACGGCCAACGATCATGTTTAAACAATTTTATATAACCTTTTTTGTGGAGGAGAGCTTTTTTATCTTACCACCAGGACGAAATAATACCAATGACTATTGGATACTGAAGTATACATCCCATGTATATGGATTGAGTACAGGTGTAGACTCAATGACAAGGACCAACTGTTGATAATTTGTTATTAAAAAAGAACGTAATTGTGTGAGCCTGTCACAGAATTTGACAGTGTCTAACATTCTATTTTATAACTTTTTTTTTGCTGACCATGTTGATGGGTCATAACAGCTGCTATAGCTCATCATAAGTCTTTCCTAAGTTTGACTTTGTAAAAAAGTTTGTGTATTTGACAGAATTTAGTAATTTAGATCAGCCCAATATGTCGTTGGCTCACATCAACTACGACAATTTTGATCAACAATCTGGCTACGAATTTAACATGGGGATGGGATGTCTAGTTGTATTAATAGTCAAAGATAATACTTTGCCCCCTTCCTCAAAATAAAATTCCTGTGGGCGCCAAGCAGCAGAGTATTCAGTACTAGACTACCTCACACCTAAGAGGAAAGTTAATGGTTCCCTTTAAAACTATTATTTCATGTTTAAGACAACATTAAGATTTATATTATATTATTTATACTTTCACAGGTTATGGTGGATGCTCCTCTGGATCCTTCAAAAGTGCAGGTGTATGGCCCAGGTATTGATCCTGAGAGTGTCCGTGAGAACGTACCAACAACCTTCAAGGTGGACACCACCAAGGCAGGCAAAGGCCCTGTCCAAGTACAACTGAAGTCTGACAGAGGACGAGGTCAGTAAACCAGCTCAGCTCTATAGTCACAATAAAATATACAGAAACAGGCCACTTAAAGTAGAATTTATATAATTGTTTAGGTCTATTTCACTGGGAAGAATGTACAAAAACTAATAATTTTGGAAAACTATTGGAAAAATAGTGTTATTTCATGGATTTGATCGCCATTCACCAATGTTAAGAAGTTACAAATTGCATAAAAAATACATAGTGAGGGCTTTTGTTTTTGTTTGTAGCGTCGAAAACAGGAAACCATATCTGAACAGTTACTGAAGGATTTCAGACTCCTGAACCTGACTAAAACTCTATGACTTCTTGTTTCAGCACCCCTTCCTGATGTGGTAGATAATGGAGATGGAACCTACAATGTCAGCTACACTCCTCCTGCAGAGGGTACTGTAGTCAAGGCACACGTCAAACACAACGACAAAGAAATCCCCCAGAGGTAAGTATATGATAACTGTATCCAAATATATTTTCAAGGATAGTTTTTTTTTTTTAATTTCATGCCTAAAAGCAAGTTAATACACCTCCTTAAAAAGTAGATATGTGAGGGAATGTTTCTAGAAGTCCACTATTGACGATTTTATGTTGAAAACGTTAAATTATATGTTCAGTTAATTTTTCAATTGAAGGCAATCATCTTTTTCTGTAATTTTAAATACCACAGCGAGAGAGCTATTTTGTTGGATTATATTGTTTAGAAAAAACCTAAAACTTTTAGTACTGACAAACTCATAGAGAGGAGCTGAAAGTATTGGTAAGAACAAGACTGTCTTAATATTATTGGTATCTATTTATGCATAAATGAGCGTAAAGTGTAAAAAAGGGCAAACTTATCCTCTTATTTTTTTAATAATTACTATATATACCTCATCATCTTCATAAGAACAGTTGTCATTATTGAAAGTAATTGAAAAACGTCTTTGAAATATATTTTTTTATTTACTATATTAATATTCAAGGTATAATTTTCATGAATAATACATAAATACCTCAATTGCAGTTAAACTACATTCAAATGTACTGTTGCTTAAACAAATTTTCAACCAACCAGATTGAAATTAAAAAGAAATTTCTTCTCCGACCCACTCTACTATAAAGCATTATGCTCTACTATTACTTAGGTTTTCTGATACAAGAAACACCTATGTGTGAGTTATGCTAAACTTTATTAACCTTCCATGAAATATTAAAATATCTCAATATTAAAACTAGCAATCAACTTTAATTAAACTATGATCCTTAAAAGCACCACCTGAGTCAAATCTCACCTCTTGATTTATTAGTTATAACTATTTTTGCAAATTCTTTTTTCACAAACACAAATTTCTTGCCATCCATTTATAAAGTACCTTCTTTTACAATTATTGAATGTTAAAAAACTTTCACCTATATCCCTAATGAAAAGGTAATTTTCGTCTAGATTTATTTCCTGTCTTTGCAATGAATACAGACCAAATATGTTTTTAAACACACAATCTGCACACTTTACGCGCCTTATACCTCAATTCTTTTAAAAGTTTTGATTTTGAATTTCAACCATACATTTTGTTTATTGCATGTAAAACTCAAAACATCATTTAACAAGGTCTTTCATTGTGCAGCCCATTCCAAATGAAGGTGAAGCCGAAGTGTGAACCCAAGAAGGTGAAGGTATCCGGTCCAGCCCTATCTGACAAAGGCATCCCAGCCTCCATTCCAACTGACATCATCATAGACCCCACACAAGCTGGCTACGGCGATCTAGAAGTCAGAGTTATGGTCAGTTCAACAATACAGTTGCTATTTTAGTTGTTAAAACTTGAATTTTAATCACAAAGTTTCACAAATTAAGTGTAGATTGAATCATTTAGAGTGGCAAGCATAATATGCAAGTTTAGACCCTTCCCCCACCACCATCGCTTTATTTAATTTTTAGTCATAAAAAAAATGATTATACATCTCATTTAATTTATGTATTCAGAGTAGGGAGGAGTGGGAGGAATTTTCTGTCTCTCTCCCTTCCTACACACCATCATGATTGAGACAATCTTAAACGTTAACTCGAAACTGATTTCAAATTAAACTTCACATAGCTATTTTTGCACAATCCAATGATTTAGCTAGTGTACAAAAAATATTTAAGATGCAAGCCTGGTTTAGTTTACAGTTTTTTTTTTATACAAGTATTAAGTTGTAATGTAAAAACTGTTCTAAATATTGCAATAAAGTTGGGAAATATATATGTATAGAATATATAAGGGCTCATATTCTACAATCATGCTGAATCACACTTTTAATGAAGAAGATGATAAAGTAATAATTTAATTTATATTGAAAAAATAATGAACATTCAAGAAGTTATTTGCTTAGTAATCAACCCTCTTAGTGTTATGTCTCTTTACCCGACGCCATACTGAAAAGAGCTAGAATATCGCAAGGCAGGAAAAGTTGTGTTTTCCTTACTTTTCAAATAAGAGATTTTTTTCCATTTGTTACATAACTACTACTAAATAATAATGTAACTATTATTAATTGTAGTTAAGTCATCATACAAGTTCGTTTTGCAGTGTAAGAAATAGTCATTTATACTTATAATAGTCACTTTGAACTAAACTGGACCAATCAAATAGTTGCTCTCAGCGATGCTCGCACTAAAACTGACTACTAGATCATTGCTGTGAGCAACGCCCTAACACTAACATGGTTCAAGAAAATATCTTATATATTATTAATACCTTAATTACTCTTAATTAGAACCTAAAGCTTTAGTTACAGTACTCGTTGACCGATTATTTGTCAGCTGTTTATTAGTAAAACCTCGTATTCTTGTATTCTAGGGTCCCGACAACCATCCAAGGAAAGTAAAGGTTGCGGAGAATGCAGATGGAACTTACAAAGCTACGTTTGTACCAGACGATTGTGGAAGGTACAAACTGACCGTGAAATATGGTGGAAAGGAAATACCAAACTCTCCCATTCCAATCCAGGCGTATGCTACAGGAAGTGTAAGTTTTATATATAATGTACTATTTTATCACATGCCTTTAATCATTAGACAAATCTTGAAACACTTTTATGAAGAGCAGTCTTTGCGCCTAAAACTTTCATTGATTCTAATTCTAATCAACCAAGGATTGTTTTTGTTTTATAAGAGAATTTGATTTTTATACATTACCCATACAACCTGTACTAGTAACATTTTATAACCATAGTGAAGAGGCTAAGGCAATCCTCATGGCTTTTGTATGCACTATGTTCAATTTGTGATCTACAATGCCCAGTATAAATTTGTTTATTACTGAGTTAAAATCGGATTCCTTCACCTCATTAAAAATTAATAATAAACATTAGCGTAGCTAAAACAATACTGTTACTTATTAATTACTTTGCCACTCTTTTAAAAACAATAATAACAGTAATATGCTATCAATTTCAGGGTTACCTATGTAAGATGTAATATGTTTGGCTAATCAAAGATACTATCTAAAAGACACCAAGAGCATTTTAACGGTTTCATTGAGTTAAACAAATTTTGTAACATGATGAAAACATTTCTAAAGTAGCAGGAGTCAGAAGTACTATTCGTGCAAGTCGAAAGTAATTACTAATTTTAATCTTGTACAGTCACCGTTCACAGTAAACTATTCAGATGTTTTAACAATGATTCTATGTATATGTGTGGTTTCTGTAGGCAGAAGCATGTAAGATTACTGAAGGCATCCAGAAGAACTTGCTGAGTGGGGAAGAGTATTGTATAACTGTGAATGCAAAGAATGCAGGAAGAGGTGCAGTTACCTGCCGAATCCGCTCAACCTCTGGCAGGTTAGAGAGTTTTCTTTTAGCCTCTCTTGGTGAAAATACCTAACCCTTTGTGCTCGGTTTGACAGCCAAACTGGGCATGTCGTTGATGTAAACAGCTAAGAATTTTCACAACATCAGCTGTCTCTGCCGCTCGCTCTACCATTGGCCACCTTTTATTTTGTATCAGCTATTTACCATGGCTTTGTACCTTTATTTAAATCATGGCAGCTTTTCTCCACCAGTGTACAATTACTTTAGTTTCAGTATTGCTCACTAGGCTTTGTCACTTAACAGTCAAAACACAAAACACATCAAACAACATCCAGAGACATAAAAATAAATAAAATTTTGTGTAAAATACACATTTTATGGCCATTGCTGACAACCCTCTGATCATTCAAATGTTTCCGTGTTGGCAACAACTGATGTGAATATTACCCGAGCTTTTGTGCAAAAAACCATGGCAAGTACTATAGCCTAGATGAATTTCGAAATTACAAACCTACTAACCACTGCCCTACCCCCTATTGTAAACCCATGGATTGATAAAGAAAATAGGACACATTGACGATTCCAGCGTCTTGACTCATAGGATGTGGAGAAGATGACTGTATTTATGTATGTAATTGGTCAACCAACCAGAGGTGCCCATCCCCCCCAAAGCCAGAGGCGCAATCCCCCCCCCCCAAGCCAGAGGAGCAGTTCCCCCATTTTATGCTGCCCTCTCTTTAAACCTCCCCCCCCACCAATTTACTTGTCAATTTCGCTTTACCACATAAAACAAACATTTCAAGTATTTACTAGTAAACTTGTGGTACAGAAAAACAAATTTGCTGGCAATCAAAATGAAATGTTTAATAGGAAACATCATTTAACCATAAAAAGTTATATCTAACTAAAGGACGAATTGGAACTTTTTCAATTTACAATTCAGAATCTGTATCGTCAGCACAATCCAGAAACCACGTTGGTCCGTCATAACCCGATTCAGGCTACTTCCAGTCCTGACCGCGGCAATGTACACGGGTGAATTGATAGGCCTATCTGTAATCGTTTTGTGTTAAATGTTTGTAACATATTCTGATGACGCCGCGTAACATTGCCGCTGATACAATGAATTAGAGTAAAAACAACAGTAGTGTTACACTGAATAGCAATGTTCTGCAATAAAACTGGTTTTTGACATAGTACTAAGCGATTCTGATAGATAGCAGCACTACCCAGGTTGCAGTCGCTAGTGTCGCTATCCTGCAGGAAAGAGGTGGGACAAAGCCCTGTTCAAAAAAACTCTGGTGGTGATTTTGGGAAACTATATTTTTTATTGTCATGAAAGTACGTCCCCACGAGCTGCAAAGAAATATAGGACGCTTGGGACGAGCTTGCTGATCCATGGAAACGTTAAACAACAATGAACGGTGACGCTCCGGAACGTTCCTAGCTCCTGGCGCTGTGGCACCGTTGACGTTCCGGAACGTCCGTAGCAGCGAACGTGTAAAAAGCACTTTTTTGGGCTCCTTATACAAAATTATACAGGGTGTTTTTAAAAGAATGCCAGGATTTTAAATTATAATTACTTGGGTAACTTACTATTCAAGGTAACTAAACGATTTATACCTCAAATTGAAGCTAAAACAATTAAGTTTTGTTTCCCGTGTAGCAAGGGCTTCAGCCTTGGCATGCGCAAAACAGGTGCGTAGTGGTAGGCCGCTATTGCGACTCACACGCCTGACGCCAGTCTCCGGTACGACGTTTATGGCGCAACAGAAGGCACAGGCTGTAATCTGTGGTTCGCAGAGTTTATATCCATTACTAAATTAAACTAAATTTAAATATACTTAATGATAAAGAAACTTGAAGCTGGTTTAATTAGTTTCGTGGCACTGTAGTGTTTTGAAAAGACATTCACCTGGCCGGCTAAAAACAAGCAATGACATAGTCGAAGAAATCCAACAAAACTGCATCAGAAGCCCGAAAAAATTGATTGCCCGAAGAACTCTTCAGTTAAACAAACCTAAATTGGTCATTTTATGATGTTATCTGTAAAAGATAGATTCTTTGTGCTAACTGGATTCAGTCAAGACATCAGATAAACCCGCCGATCGCCCTAATCGTACAGACTTTGCCAGCTTTACGCTCATATAAGATTGATGAAAACTTTGTTCTTTCCCCTTCAATTTAACGTTCAAATTGTTAAATTATCTTGAATAGTCCCCGAGCAACGACAATTTAAAATCCCGGCATTCTTTTAAAAACACCCTGTACATTCATTATGACAGCTATCATAAATATATCCCCCCAAAATCCCCCCAAAAATTCCCCCCCCCAAAATTTGTACGCCACTGTACCCCCCTCTGGGCACCCCTGCAACCAACTGATTTAGACTACGTAAAATAGTCCTTCTGATCACAAAGGGTTCTGAATATTCTAGGGCTTAATTTTTTATGCAGATTAAGTTTCACTGAAGAAAATCATAAAACTACTAAACTTAAATAACTACTGAAAATGCATGCACTCCATATATGTTCAAGGGGCATTGATTGAAACTCCCATCTTTTAGGTCATTATCCTTTAATATTCATGCCTGATGGAATGTCCTGTTTCTACTGTTCTATTTTAGGAATGTTTCTTCCACTTTTCCCTATTCATCTCTCTCAATATTTCCTTGAAAATTTTCTCAAATTGGTCCTAGCACTTTTCTACAAAAAAAAATCATTGTCTTAAGAGATGACACAGTTTTATAATTTTTACTAGGTACAGTAGGTATTATCCTTGACAAGATCCGGTACTGTATGGTAAAATTTTTTAAAAGTTAAGTATTTCAAGCTTTTAAGAGGTAGTTTTTTGAAGTTCCTTGGAGCCAAATCAACTTTCAGTCAATGACCTGAGGCACAACAGATATTATTGTTCAATACAATGTTTAGGATGTTAAGTGAGCCAACTTCAACTAACTTTTATGATGCCAAGTCTAGTCGTTAACAGTTATGTTGACCATAAACCATGTCAAACAATGAGGAAGTAGTTTAATAGATGCTATAATTCACTGTTTCTGTTTTACTTAGTTTAAATGATTTTATGGTTTTAAGGAGATGGGCAATATTTAACAAATTAACTATTAATGTATACCTTTTCATTCATACTTTTCATCTTAAAACTGCCAATAAAGTTATATTTATTTGAGATTTAATAAAAAACACTTGATTAGATATAAATTGATATATTTGGTATAAAGAACACCACAAAACTTTAATTATGTGGCATTTAATAAAAAATATTAATTAATAAAACTCTTCATCATGAAAATAAACTATAGAATCTTTGTAGTGGTTATTTTTTTAATTGTTCTAATTCAAGCTGAACTTGAACTAGAGATAAGGAACCAGGGAGTAAGCTACAACAATTTTCCCAATGGTGGAGACGAATTAGTATGGATGCCTCAAATAAAAAAATATATTGTCAGAAACATATATTTTTAAATAACACAGTACTTAGTGGTTTGGCTGTTTCAAAAGCAGCAGCTGAAGCAGGCTATGTTTTGTTTGAATGTAGCTTCTTCAATACTGAGATGGCAGCAATAGACACAGAGATTAGGAAAAAAGAGAGGGAGAGTTTACTTACAACCACAGTAATAGAAACACTGCTTTGGATAATGGTGATAAAGTTCTTAAAACTCCCAACACACTGTACCATTAAATATACATGGTATCCTGTAACTCTCTGGACATTTGTATATATAGCATTATTGCTTAGGTCAAGACAAACATATTTCACCATAGGAACATGGGTCTGTGGTGCCTAGTTGTCCGACTGTCTGTATTTATGTGTTTTTTACAAAAACATTAATAACTCCTAAACCGTTTGAGATACCGCGTTGAGATATTGCAAAAAATGTTATCTTATTAGGACTTATCTTTGTCTAAAATTATACTAAAAAATAATTAACCGTTTCAAATGGCAGCCATTTAAAATATTTGATGCCAAATTTCACAAAAACCGTTAACTTAACTAAAAAATGGCATTACACAAATAAGTTAGTACATTTTATGTAGTTTTCAATGATAACTTATTTGTTAAGAATGGATAAATAATAAGAGAGAAATGTCTACTTTTACAAATGCATGACCACTTTTCTCCATTTAAACAATGCTAAACAATGTAAAAGGAGTATTAGCATAGACTAACCAACACAAGTAGACTTCTCATCCCATTGTACATTTTGAAGCACGTTTTTCGTGTCTAGTTCATGTACGTGACACATGGGCGCTAGTGTCGACGAAACTTTGTTTCTATTATTTTAGGGTTAATTTCTTGATTTGTGCTTTACTGTTTGGTTATCTTAAAAATAACTAAATAACTAGGGGACAGGTTATTGTTTATGATTAGATCGTATTATTTGGTTAAACGAGGTTTTAAATGGCTGTAATAACGGGAAACAAATTGTAAACAAAACACGACCCCTACAGAAAACCGTACAGAACTAACAATAAAATTGTCTTCAGCTGTTCCATAAGGATGAGAAATCTACTAAGGGAGTATGTTTTATCTATGGTATTAGCATTGTTTAAATGGAGAAAAGTGGTCATGCATTTGGAAAAGAAGACATTTCTCTGTTGTTATTTATCCATTCTTAACAAATAAGGCATCATTGAAAACTACATAAAATTTACTAAATTTTTTGTAGTTTGCAATCTTTTCGTTATGTTAACGGTTTTCATGAAATTTGGCAACAAATATTTTAAATGGCTACCATTTTGAAATGGTTGATTATTTTTCAGTATAATTTTAGACAAAGATAACTCTAAATAAGATAAACATTTTTGCAAAATCGCAACGCGGTATCTCAAACCATTTAGGAGTTATTAATGTTTTTGTAAAAAACACATAAATACAGACAGTCGAAAAACTAGGTACCACAGACCCATGTTCCTATGGTGAAATATGTTTGTCTTGACCTAAGCAATAACACTTTATACATATATGTCCAGAGAGTTACGGGACACCCTGTAGATTGTTTTATAAAAAGC